GCTTTAAATTCAAATGAGACTCTGCAGCGAAGAAGAAGAAGGAGGAGCTACAGATGCCTGTGTGTCAGCATAGTGGCAGATAAAAAAAAATGAGACTGAAGTTCTATGCTAATGAGGGAGAGATGTCACCAATGGGCGGGGCTTTCACCTTTTGATGACACGTACAAGAAAGAATGTGTTTTTATCAAGTGTGATTATAATAAAATAAATGAATACGTTTTTACCAAGCTGGTTATATTCACAGACTATTGCCACACAACTGTTTAAAATTTTGCATAATAGGTCCCCTTTCAAACATGTTTTGGCTAACATGTTTTAGGATGTAAATATAGTTACATCATGTTACAGCACATTACTTGCATGAATTAGCATGTTGCCAGTTAATTTTAGGACATTGCGTGTAAGTTTAATATGTTGCTATTATATTTTTGCACATTGCTATCATGAGTTAGCATGTTGCTAACATATTTAAAGTGTCAGAACATGATGATGTTCTCTGTAGGTTTATTATTTTTAGTATATTTAAGTAGTTTATTAACACATAACTGCCAGTATGTTCAAAATGTTGCGTTAAACATTGTGGCTGTGTCAAAATTGCATACTTCTATACTACATAGTACGCTAAAAACAGTATGCAGGCAGAGTAGTTTGCCCGAATTCAGTATGCAAAAAGGTACCCGAATGACCTACAACTTCCAGCGAGATTCTGAAGTGAGCATTCTGGGGCCCATTTTAGAAGGAAGGTTAAGTGAAAACTCAGAGTACTTTAACACTGAAATGAGAGAAACTCTTGGTTTTCCATTTCGAAATGGCCGGTTTGTCAAACTCGAGAAAGCAGGGTAAGTCAAGAGTGTTTCTGAAAGAAAGGTAACTTTAACTCAGAGTCAGTTACTATAGTAACTTACTCTGTGAACCTAACCTGGTCAGGAGCAGGTTTTATTCTCTAAACTCTGAGTTTCTGTCTGTCGGCTCCCATTTTTTTTTAAAGACGAAGCGTATTTTTCGCCTTAGCTCTACTTTTCTACCCACCTATTTTAATGCTCATTTTGGAAATGCGCATAAAAAAATCCATCGATTGATGGAAACATCATGATGCACATAACTTTTGAAAATGCGCATAAAAAACACGTGCATAACTGCGTAGGAGAAACTTTTATTCATTAAGAAAGGATGTGCATAAACTGCGATGAAAACACATTTACTGAACAAATTTCAGTATGCACATTAAAAAAAGGTTTGTTATAAGAAATCATATGCTGATATAAATGTGTGTGAATGGAAAAGAAAAGATTGACGCAGCTTCTTCTAACGCAGTAAATTCCGTTTGTTCTGTTAATATTTGGCGCCAGATAATCCGGGATTGATAATTTTGTTCTCTTAGATTCATTGGATGGAAATGATGCTTTATTCGCACATCTTTTATGCGATATTCCAGTTTTGCAAATACATTTAATGACATTTAATGGAAACTTTGTAAATCAACTCAGAGATCAAGTTTAAACTCAGAGTTGGTTGAACCTCCTTACTGAAACAAGCCCATGATGCACGACACTCTATCCCATATCACCACGAGAGAATTCATCAATAGGCTGATTTATACTTCTGCGTCAAGTCGCAGTGATGCATAAGCTCTGTGATTGGTCGGCTTGGTAGCTGTGATCAGTGTGGGCGGAACCGAGAGCCACGCAAACCCGTTGGAGCGAGTGTTTACAAGTGTGCAGTCCTGTGAAGGAGCTGTTGTTTGTGTTTATCCTATGATTAAAGTTGTTGCACATCCGCCCGTTCCCGCTTCTGAATGAGCGAGTTTTAGCTACTTGTACATTAAGCCAAGCGTTCAGAAAAAACCAAACACCCGCAAAAGAACTCGACACAGAGGAACATAAAAACCTTACTGCCAGCTAGCGTTTCGGATGTGTTATTGCAGAGCAACACAAAACAGCATTGTGAGGTATAAATGCAGGACTATGCACAAGGCAGGCGCAGTAAGTCACGCCGATCACTCGATGCAGAAGTATAAACCAGCCTTGAAGTGATGCAACTGACGTGGGAAGGTCACGTGACCATGACAAATTGACAGATGCAATACGTCTAATTTCCATTCATACTAATCACATTCACACTATATAGAACACATTTTTCTAACGGTCGAGTAGTACATTTAAAGTCAAATGCAGTACCTACTAAGCAGCAGGCAATTTCGGACACAGCCTGCTTGTTTTTTGGATTAATATTAGCTCGCTCAGCTTAAAAATAATTGCAATATTATCCTTTAAATATATTTTTAACAAATCACCAAGAGACACAAATGCACAGCAGGTTTGATGAACAGAACACTCTTTTATTTGTAAAAACTGCCCTGCTACATACAATGCGTTGCTTATAAAATACTAATCGAAAAGGACCATTAATGTTGCGTTAAAAATAAGGTCAGTTTCAACATACAAAATGTCATGCATTGAAAAAGGCAGCGTTTCATTATTGCTCGTATAAATATATAATCTCTAGTACATGTACCCTGATTTACTGTGCACTGCTAATGTTTCTCAGAATCAGGCCTGACGACACTAACAAGAGTTCAGCGTTTTGTTTTTTACTAAACCGTTCCCTTTTAGATCAGCTGAAAGTGCATGCACCAACTTTAACTTTACGAATGCGTTACTGAGGATGCATGTGCAATGCTTTACCTGCATTAACATGCAAATCAGCACGAGACTGACCAATGAACAAATGAAAACATCCAAAATGTCTCCACATATGGAAATTGGTACCTGAATTTAAGAATCTAATTCACTCAAAAATAAAAAAGGTAACACTTTACAATAAGGTTACAATAATAGTTTATGCATTTAATAGTTCTGGATTAATTGCGTTTAACCACATCCAAAATCAAAGTGCGTTGACATGGATACTGTATGCATTTATTATGCATGTATAAATACACCGATGCATGCATATATTTGGGGAAACCTTTATAATGTTTGTTTATTAGTGCTGGGCAAAGATTAATCGCATCAAAAATAAAAGTCTGTTTTGACATAATATGTGTGTGTATTATTTATATATTTACTTGGTATGTGTAATACACAGACATGCATAAAAACAAGACTATACAATACAATTTTCTTACACAGATATTAAAATCGTTTTATAATACACACATTCATTAAATGTTAATATATACATTGTATTTTATAGCTAAATATAAAGTAAATAAACATTTGCTCAAATATATGCATGCAAGTCTGTATTTATATATACATAATACTAATATACAGAGCACACACACAGATATTAGGTGGAAACAAACTTGATTTTGGATGCAATTAATCTTTGCCCAGCACTAATATTAGATGTAAAATATATATGTATATGATATAAATTATATATAAATTTAAATATCTATGTAACAAAATGGTTTTATATAATTTTGTCTTTATGTATGTGTGCATATCATATATATATATATATATATATATATATATATATATATATATATATATATATATATATATAAATATATATATAAATATAAAAACACACATATTTATGTCAAAACAAACTTTTATTTTGGATGCTATTAATCTTTACCCAGCTCTAATATTTACTAACAAGAAAATACATTTATTACAGTATTTAATCGTGTTAGTGAACCCTTTAAGGTGCACAACATAACCAAGGTGGTTATGATGCTTGTTAAATGAAAACAAAGTCATTCATTGTTAGTTATTATCAACTCGACTAACTAATGATTTGAATAATGCTTTAGTGAATGTTGATCTATGACACAGGTGTCAAACTCAGTTCCAAAAGGGCCGCAGCTCTGCACAGTTTAGTTCCAACCCTAATTAAACACACCTGATCAAACTAATTGAGTCCTTCAGGCTTGTTTGAAACCTACAGGTAAGTGTTGGAGCAGGGTTGGAACTAAACTGTGCAGGGCTTCGGCCCTCCAGGAATAGAGTTTGACACCCCTTCTCTATGATAATTAATAAATGCTGTACTATTAGTGTTATTATTATTAGCTCATGTTTTTAAATGCATTAACTAATGAAAGCTTATTGTAAATTATAACAAATATAATGTGGCTTCAAATGTGTATGCCTTTCTTTAATGAAAGGGAATATAAAAACGAACTTGAGAAGATTTATAAGTAACACTTTATAATAACTACACAATATGCATCATTATTAAGATTTAGCTAATAGTGGATTCATTATCTGTTAAGCATTACCTTTACATTAACTGATGTTAGTAAGCAGTTTATAACTGCAGATACAAATGCTCTATTCTTGACTTATAAGCACATTTAAAATAATAACACTCTGTTACTGATCATTTTTTCATTACTAAATTAAGTGTCACATTATTTACAAATCATTTGTATTTAAGAGTAGTTAGGTTTTTAAGATCATTCAGAATGTGCTAGTAAATGATTAATAAACTATTTCAATCAACATTTTTATATTTGATTGCCCTGGCATATATTAACAGTTAATTTGTATGTTAATAAATGCTTTATTAACTCAACTTCATCCAGTTTTGTGACCTAATCTAAAGTGAGGACTATTCATGCTTTATGAATCCCTTATAAAGGACAATTAAAGACTCAGTATCAATTGAACAATAAATCTTTGCCATCTTACCTAAAAAATAAAAGAACTGTAAATATTAAACATTGCTGAATAACAGGAGTGTCAAAATACAACATAAAATTGGATAAAACAACAACTAATATACTTTGATACATTATGATGCACCATTTCAATGTTATTTAGTGATGTTTACATGGCACAGTAATTTTATTTTAGATAAGATTGCAAAGATTTATTTTTAATTGGATGCAGTTTCATTTGTGCATCTTCAAGTGAATATAAATTAATAAAGTCGTTTATTTTATTTTTGTCTTGTTTAGAATATGACTGAGCCTTTATTTGTCATTTATAAGTCTTTATAGTCTTTAGATTAGGTCACAAAACTGGATGAAGTTGAGTTTGTAACGCATTTATTAACATATAAAATAACTGTTAATATATGCCTGAATAATAAGATATATACATGTTGATTTGATTAGTTTATGAATCATTTACTAAAGCGTTCTGAATTATCTTTAAAAACCAGCAGCTTCTCTCAAATAATTGGTTTGTAAATGATGCAATACTTAATTTAGTGATGAAAAAACAATTAACAAAGTATGAAAATACAATCATTAAGCACATTATAAATGCTCTTATAAGTCAAGAATACAGCATTCGAATCTGTATTTATAAACTGCTTACTAACATCTGTTATTGTAGCGTTATTGCTCAACAAATGATGAATTAACTATTTGTTAATGCTTAATAAATGATTCATATTGTTTAGTTATTATGAAGTGTTACCGATTTATAATATGGCACACTTCTCTTTGATCATCCCAAGATATTCTTCACCTTTCTACATCCACTGAAACAAGCCATACAGGTTTAAAATGACATGAGAATTAAACATTTATGACTTTTTGTTTGTATTTTTGAGTGAAATAATTCTTTAAATGTGTGCGTCTGCAGGCCTCAACAATATAATCTCATCTTTTACAGTCACACCTACAAAAATATCACTTCAGATGCATTTCAGCAATCATTACCTCCTGTTACAGGACCTCAGCGAGAAGTGTTTATCTCTCCATGAGTGTTTTACCTTTTCGTACCTCAAAACAGAAGTCCAGATCTGACCAATCACGTGCTTCCTCCACTGACATCTCAACTTACTTAGTTAATACTGTCATTCCTAAAGCTGGCCAAACATAAAAACAAACTAATGACTGACAATTCAATTAAATAACATGAACAGACTCTGTTCAGTACCGCTAATCTGCACATTATCATTCAGATATCATTCAGATATGGTAAACATTTCAACTTGACAGCTACATACATAAAAAAAATTGACATTTTCTTATTCTAATATTATTTTTACCTTTGCTGATGGTTTTTAAATCATGGGAAAGGCATCTTAAATCTCATAGCATTAATGGAAAGATCCAAAAATATAAAAGAAATGCTAAACCTAGATCTGGGTTAACAGAATGACTCCTCCATATGCGTTTTGATAGCTGCACACACAGTAATCATATTAATAATAACAAAGGAAATCTAGACTGAAATGTGAGAATTAAACTAAATGCTAACACTCGATCTCGCGCTCGATAACGTATAGAAAACCAAACATACATTCAGACTGAGAGATAAATGCCATTGCTGGGGTTGATTCTGTGCATT